CAAGTACACGTGGACCAGATTACCGAAATGGCAGCAGTAATGAGGAAAGCTATTGAAATTGATGAGCAGCAAGGTTGCAAGGAGCAGGAACGAATTTTTCAACTTGAAGTAAGTTTTAAATTCTGAATATAACTTGAAATAGCCAGTGCTTAAATAAAAAAATTTTGTCAAGAGGGAGCAGTGTAATGTAGCACCTCTTTGGCTTTTGAAAAGTGGCGACTATGTTTCAGCTAGTGATGAAATCTAATTGATGTTTAGGGGTGAATAAGTCTTTTTGAATCTGAACAACTTAAGGGTGCCAGCTGTTTAGAAATGTGTTTTTGTACTCGAGTATGAAATATTTATATATTCTTCTCATATGGATGACAGTCATGATATGTTAAATACCTTTAAACATAGATCCTCTTCACTATATAAAAAGTTTATAAAGTCTTCCTGTTCCTGGTTTGGACCAGAAATTATTTGATAGACCAGTAGTAGTAATTAGTGATAGCTGATTTTAAAAACACCCCTGTTAAATTTCACCAGATCACTATACTTCATACACATTTAAGTTAGTATTTTCTTACATCATTTTTATAAGTTCTTCATTAATAGGCACAACATTCTTTCTAAATCTAATTACATTCTTTGCTGGGATATAAATGCTTTGGGAACTTAGTTTCTAGCTGCAGAAATATGAGCCATTGTTCTCGAATTCAGTGAATAAGTGTCTCATGGGAAAAAATCATTTTGAAACTAGTGTAGTTATTTGATGACAGATGGCCAAGTACGGTTTGTCTCTTTAATGAATAGCTATGTTCTTTATGCCACTAAAGCATAAAATAGGACTAACAAGGAAATGGTTAAGTCAGTCAATGAAAGGTTGAAGTAAAACTCTTGAAAATAAACATGACTGGGGCAGCTAGGTGGTGCGGTGGATAGAGCTCCAGCCTTGGAGCCAGGAGAACCTGAGTTCAAATGTGGCCTCAGCCACTTAACACTTACTAGCCATATGACCCAGGGCAAGTCACTTAACCCAGATTGCCTCACCAAAAAGCAAAATTAAAAAAAAAATCACTTTAAAAAAAAAAAAAGAAAATAATCATGACTAGAAAAGTTGACGTTTAAAGTTAACCACCAAATTTTCCACTAGTAACCAACATTGCTTTTACTAAAATTGCAAACTACCCAACAGCCTTTCTTTTCAAGCATTTGTGAGGGATTTCGAGGGAGGCAAAAAGAGTGGTTTCTTAGCACTATACTGTAGCTCAGTTTAAGAAAAATATTGGGAATTCTAAAACAGGTTCTAGTCCCAGGATAGGGTTATACAAGCATGTGCCCTTGAAACTCAAGTTTTTCTCAAAACGAGGGGGTTGGACACTATAATCTTTAAGTTCTTTTCAGATCTGAAATTAACATCATTTAAGAAATACGGTGCCATGGGAAAGAAAGTAGAAGTTATGGTAGGCAGTATACATTCCTCCTACCCCAGAAAAATACGTTCTCCTGAGGTAGGCTGGTAGCTCTGTATATTCTTTAGTGTACTCTTTTTATGTGGGATAGTTTGGCATTAATGGATAGAGGGGCTGGCCTTGGAATCAGAAGAATAGACTTTATTCACATAGAATTATGGGAGATGGAAGGGACCTTTGAAGGCATCTAGTCTAGCCCTGTCGTCTTGTATTTGAGGAAACTAAATCCTAAAAATGTGTTTTGACATTCTGGCTATATGGCCACAGATGGATAAGTCCCTTAACATTTCAAGGCTGTAGGCAGCTCTTTAAAACTGTAAGTTATAGGCATGTTACTAACTTGCATTGGTGGAGGAAGTTTATATAACAGTATACCTCTACTGATGAAATCACAATTCTAGACCAAAAATATGTGCATAATATTTTTGCATTTGTGAAATGTTTTTGATTGGTTACTTCTACATCACATTTCCTTTTTTTCCCCCAGAAACTTTACCTTTCATAGTACGCACCTTGATGTATGTGTGATATTTGATTTTGTTATTTATATTCTTATAGCAAGAAAACAAAGGCTTGAGAGAAATCCTTCAAATAACTCGAGAATCATTCCTGAGTCTCAAGAAAGATGATGCATCAGAGAGTACATCTTTGTCAGCATTGGTAACCAGCAGCGACTTGAGCCTGAGGAAGAGCTAAAGAACATGGAAAATCACTGAGCTTCTATTGCACAGCTCCTAATACGGAACCAGGGTTTACTTAAAAAATAGTTAATGAATTGAGCACCAGAAAAACCACAATCTTAAATCAGCCCTTCATTTCATTCTTTTTACATTATGTGTAGTACACTGGCAAATGACATTTTAAAAAGATGGTAGCAGAAGATCAATATTCGGTTGTCATTGACTTTGTTATTCCTATTAAAGTTTTTAATGGGAAAATGGAAACTTTAAGCCATTGTTATTAGATAAATTAAAGTTCTCATATATAGAAACTACTGATCGTACTAGGCCCCTGCCACACTGTTATTTTTCTTAACTTTTTTTATCCAAACATTAAATATATATACAGCTCTACATAAAATTTATGCAGTTATACCATTTTTTAAAAATCCACATTTTCTTAGCCTGGACTTAAAGAAAAGGGAGTGTGTCCATTCCTAAATTTGATCTCTATTTGATATGAAGGCCAGCAAATGGTATTGTATTTTACATGTACTGGGCCTGCCTTTACATTTCTTAAGAAATGCCTTTCAAAGATGTCGGGCTTATCCAAAAACTTTTAAAAGATTGATAACATTTTGGCTCTGTGGCATAGGCCATAAATTGTTCTTCAAGACAAGATCCTAAGAGGTGCTTTTGTTTTAGCCAGCAACATACCACAGTTGATCATGACATTTTGGGGAATAACTGTCTATAACTTACTGAAGGTGAAGAAATGTAGAAACTATCTTTTCAGTAATGAAAAAGAAAGCTATACTACTTTCTGAGAAAGAAAACCCTATAGAAGGCAAGATTATTCAGTAGGTTGAACTACTACTTTAGAGGGGGAAAGGTTAGGTTTGGATTCCTGAATAAATATTAATTTGGTCAGGTTTGTTTTCTGGTTGATTTTAGGAATATTAATCTATCCGTTACCCAGCTGTCTCAGTTGGAAGGCCTGATATAGCAAGCCAGGAATAGAGAGATTTGAAATGGGCAAAAAAAAAACAACCAATATTTATTTTAGCCTTGTTAATGGTAAACATCAACTTTCACCTGGTTTATAAAAAGAAACCTTTATTCCTTATGACGGCTTGTTTTTCTTATTAGATACCAACAGGAGCAAAGAAACTATAATTGTGGGTCTCTCTGAATCTGCCCTTGAGCTCATCTGTTCCCAATAACTTTCAGATTTTTTATGGCCATCACACTGAAACAAGTATTTGGGAATAGTTCATTTTCTTGGATTTTATAAAAACTGCAAATTATTTACTACCACTGTGGATTTTCAAAATAGACAACCAAGTAAAGAAGTAATTGAAATTTGGGCCGTTATTTAAATCAACAATATAGTAGAAACTAAGCTTTCTCAAATTAGCACAGATTGCAAGTTCCATTTAGATCCTCTGTTGAAATAATACTCAGCAGAATCTGTTAGTGTGCGAGGACTTACATATTGTTAAGAGCAAAAGCTACAGTTGTTTACTCAAATTTACCTCCCCAAACCCCAAACATTGGGTGTTTTTATTTAAAATAAAATAAAACTTTATTCCAGAGGCCTTACTGAAAATTTCCAATAAAAAAATATATACTTTTTTCCTTAAAACTGTTTGGTAACTGTCTTCTATCTTATTTTGATTAAGAAGCAGTACTTGACTTGGTGGCAGATTTCTCCAGATAATTTTGATTTTATCCCATTTAACTTAAGAAAATAAAACAAGCTGCACTGTTAAGATTTAGTATGTGGCAATCTTGAGGCAGCTATTATTAAAAAAATGCTTGATGGGTATTTTTGTAAATAAAGTTGTGATTTAATTTATCTCCTCTTGACCGTCATAGATATATTGTGTTTTCTGAGATTTAATTTTAGGGTTTTTCAGAGTGTCATTTTGTGTAATAAGTTTTCATCACATACGCATAATTTTTGTAATCCAGAAGCTTGAAATGTGTATTTGGAATGTGTACTGTATAATTTTATCAATAAAGATGATTGATAAAATTAGTATTATTTTTCCAATAACTTAAAAAAGAAATGCATAATTTTTCTTGTTCTCAAAGATTTGTCAGTCAAGCATTTTATTAAGAACATATACATGTGTATAGTCGTACAGTTCATAAAGGCATTCCTCACAACAAATTTGTGAAGTGGAGATGATCCTGAGGTTAGGTGCTGACATCTACACACCTCAGTAGTTAAAGTATCCCGGAAGTATAACTCACACCCTGGTCTACCATTCCAAATCCATCCCTCTGTGGATCAACCAACAAGTGTTAAGCACCCATTATGTGCCTGTCATTGTGCTAGGGATACAAGTACAAACAATGAAATAGTCCCTAATTGCAATAAGTTTACATTCCCAAGGTGAAGCCAACAAGTACATTTGTAGCAAAGTGGACAGAAATAAACGCCAACCATAGCAGGTAGGTTAGGTGGGAGAGCACTAGCATCCAGGGAGATCAAGAAAGGCTCTCTGCATGAAAATGGTGCCCAAGCTGTACCTTAAAGAAGAGAGGGATTCTGAGAGGGAGGGCATTCCAGACATAAGATTTGGCCAGAGTAATTACACAGAGAAAGGCTTGGATCATACGGTGCAGCAAGGGAAATGATGTCCTAGAAAGCCTAGCTGGGGCTAAGTTGTATAGACTTAAAAACTGAAGAGAGGAATTTCATTTCCAAAATTATAGAGGCAGCTAGGTGGTGCAGTGGGTAGAGCACCAGCCCTGGAGTCAGGAGGATCTGAGTTCAAATGTGACCTCAGACACAACACTCACTAGCTGGGCGACCCTGGGCAAGTCACTTAACCCCAACTGCCTTTAAAAAAAAAAAAAGATGAATAGAGCACTAGAGTCTTTCCAGCAGTTTCAGGGACTCTGCTTCCCAGTGAACCAGCCCTAGCCTAGAATATCTTCCAAGCTGAAATATGGCATGTTGGAGGGAGAGACTGCCCATTCCCATAGGTGTCCTACAAGTACCAATAAAGCAGGTTTACTAACACTAAAGCAGAGCCATGCTTACAAGCAGTCACACTGTGAAAAAGCAGGAAAGCCTTCCCGCTAAAATGAAAGAAAAAACCCATATCTGGTTACCTGGATTCCACAGGTGACCTCTTTCAGCCCCAAACCAGAACCATGTTCCACCTGTGCAACAAGATGGCCCAAGTTAAGTAGCTAGATATATACTACTGAACCTTCTGAAAGTAGGTATTTAATAAATGTTTATTGATTGTTTTTAGCACCCTCACACTAAAGTGTATTGTAACCTGCTGTCCCCAAACTGAATAGTGAATGATAGCCAAACAGACCCTATTTTAAAATAATTCCAAACTTGACAGTATTTTCAAGGTCAAGTCATGCCACCTAAAGACATGTATTGTAAAAAATGGCCTATAATATTCTTTCCTTGCCCTCAACATCAGTCAGCAGTCAAAGATTTCTTATTTATCAAAAAACCTAAATTCATATATGATAAGACAAAAGCCAGTTTTTACACTATAAATGAAAACAGGCAAAAAAAAAAAGTCTACCAATTTACTTACAAAAACCTTAAGTGCTATTTGCATAAACTGGAAGAAGAAACCTCTATTAGAGCATACTGAGTTTACTATGTATAATACTGGATGGATTTAAAATTTAAATACATTATCTAATTCACACTTTTCGTGAAGGGGGTAAGAATCCAGATATCAAGTTTCACAGTTAAATAAAGAACATGCTTTATTCTAATTTTTTTCTTCCAAAAATGGGAACAGATAAGGTAAATAGCCTGGAGTAGGGTTTTTGGAAGCACATATTTATTATAAAAAGATATACAAATTTCTGCTTTTGATTACTCACAAAATATTATGACAATCTGAAAGTTAAACAAAATGTGTTTTCTTCCTTAATTAAGTGCCCTACCCTTACAATCCCTAGCTAACAACAAACCTTGACTTTACAAATAAATATAAGTGGAAATGCATCCCATAGGCAAAGGCCACATGCTTAATGTAAAAAAGGGGAGGGGGAGGAGGGGCTTTTGAAGTGTAAATTGTTATCCCTGGGCCATAAAAGGTTTCAGAATTCTATATCTGAATGAGGTTCATTTAAATCCAAAAGGCCATTGCAATGAGGTGATGTTGGACAGTAGAGACAATTAGTACAAAAAACTCATTTATCTCTTTTTTTAAATTTTCCAAGACTATTTTTAAAGGTAGAAATTAAACAAAAACTATCCAATAAAGAAAACAGTACCACAAGGATGGTACTACGAAAACTGCTGAAAGCTGCACTGCTTCAAGCAGCAGTAGTTAACCCATACATAATCTTGTGCAAGAAATTCCAACTAATTTGAAATTCACACTGGTGAGTCAGTCTCCTGTCCATTATTATGGCAGAACTGGGACAAGAGGCCGGTTGGCTTTAGCAGTCCAGGGCATAGTGCCTTCTTGTGGCGGGAAAAAAAATGGCTCTCAGACTACAAAGGAATAAAACTCAAAGTTGGTTGTGTCCCAATGCTAATGATCTTCATTAAACATCAGCCACATCTTTAGGGTGTCACTGGATTTCACCCCCCCCCCTTCACTAAATTCACTTTCAACCACCCAGGTAACAAGAGCTTTGAGGAAGAGACTGTCAGGCAAGTTTTTATATATTTGTACCAACATAAGCTAATAAGTCACAGCATAACTTTGTATGATTTTGGGGAAAAAAAAGATGGAAGCTAAAGAGTGTAAATTCTTTTCTAAAAGAAAAAACAAAACCCATATGTTCTCAAACAACATTTGTTACAAGTTTTCAGTGTTATGCTGGAAATGCCCATAAAAAAGGCAACACTGGATGGACATTTATTTGGATTTTGAAAACTAAGTCATCAGGCTTTGTTATCTATACATTTTTATCTCTTTTGAGTCAGCTGAAACATCAGAGATGATGGTTCTAATTCAAGCCAAAAAGTAAAGGTTGCCTTTTCCACAATATAGTCTAATGAGAAAGAGTACAGACGTCTAATGAGAGAGAATAGGGAAGCTCATTCTTCATTACTGGTCAGCTTCTGATAATTAAATGATTTTTTCCTCATCCCTCTATATAGTCTCTAAAATTTAAAGTACACCCAGTACACTTTGTATGTACTGACAGTGGGTATATTTCAGGTCCCTAGACCTCCAGCAACCACAAATAAAGATTCAGTCTCAGATTTGCATAAACCACCACCACAATCGGACAAATTAAAAGAGAAAAAATTAAAGGGGTTTGGAGAAATATTAAGGGATTTCAAGAATGAAATGACAATGGGCCTTAGCATACATTTCTTCACTTCATATCCCCACCAGCCCACGTACTTTTCCTTCCTTATTACCTATATTTAATGGATTAAGCTGAACATTAAACTCAAAGCTCTCTTTTCAAATAATTTAAAAATGGGAAAATGCTTCCTTACCATCAACAGACATTTCCTGCCATCTCACTCATTCCACACCATTCCCGCCTCCAGACACTCTCCTCAACAGTGTGTAGACAAAACTGTAACTGCCTCTGAACACCACTTTATCATGAGAATGTCCTGAAGGCACGTCAAACCTTGTGAACAAGCACATGGAGACCTACACAGCCTAACACGCTATCCCAGGCAGTACATGCTGGCTGACCTTCAGACACTCTATGGATTTCCTAAGCAATCGAGGCATAGCACCATAGCTGACAGGCATTGCTTCAAACATTCACACCGATTTGGTCCTTCGGAGAAAAGGGAAGCAATGACAGGTCGCCTCCTCCATTCACAGTAGCAGAGGCGTTCTTTCTCCTGCTGCCTCCTCCCCTTGAAAGAACTGCTTCACCTGTGTTAATCTGTTATAGAGTCTCTCTCTTAGTGGACGAACATGGTAGCTGGGATCCAGAATGTTGGTGACTCTGCGTTCCCTTTCGCGCTTCCACATTTTATATGGGTGGGGAGGGAAAAACGGTCGTCCCCTCTCTCTCCGGATCTGTAATGTAATTCCACTCACTGCCAACATTCCCCAGATAGCCAGAATAACAAAGTCTATAAAATAAGAGAGACACAGAGTTCAAATTCATAGTTTAAAATCCAACAGATTTAAATTCAGTTTTCTCATCTGTAAAATGAGGATAATAATAACACTTCCCTCTCAGGTTCAAATGGATGAAATGAGATAATTGTAAAGCCCTTAGCACAGTGCCTACCTCGCACACAGTACTCGCTATATAAATGTTAACTATTATTATTACTGAGGCAGCTAGGTGGCACAGTGGATAGAGCAGCAGCCCTGTTCAAATGTGACCTCAGACACCTAACACTCACTAGCTGTGTAACTCTGCGCAAGTCACTTAACCCCAATTGCCTCAGCAAAAAAAAAATATATATTATTATTACATAATGCATTAATTTTTTTAATCTTTTGAACAGCTACCACTATAATGGTCAGTGACAAGGACATAGTTCTTAGGACACATTTTGCAGACACTGAAGGCAAATGTTAGGGTCCACCCCATTCTCGACCACTTTTATTGCTACCTAAGTGGATGGGAGTATAGGTCCCCATCACTGACAGCAATAGGTCTTTCTCACATCTTTTGAGTAGGTAAAAAGAAACAGAACGTAACCGATTCACTTTAATATTTGTTGTTTGTTATAACTTCTTGTAATTTGAAATAAATGAATTACATGGAGGTATGACTAGGATGGGGGTGGAAGAAAAGGTTTACAATGTGGACACTGCTTCAAAAACTATTTACGGAACACCTATTAAAGTCTCTGTTCATTTTTAAATCTCCCCATTCCAGTTCTCAGGTTCTCAGGCCCTTCCAAAGGCAAACCAAGAAAGAGGGTTAGACAAAGAAGTAACTGCTGGTATCCTAGAAAATCAGATAGATCCTAATTGTGCCTATATGCTATAGCACAGACGAGCCAATCAGAAGAAATAAAATAGCTAATAACTTAGTATTTATACAGCACTTCAAGGCTGGCAAAGTACTTTAAAAATATTATCTCATTTAAACTTCACAACTCTGAGAGGTATGTACTATTATTCCCATTTTTATAGATGAGGAAACTGAGACAAACAGATTTTAATTGACTTGCCCAGGGTCAAAGTAGAAAGTAACTGAGGCAGCATTTGAATGCAGCTCTTCCTGATTCCACCTTCAGAACTCTAGCCAGTATTTCTTGTTGTTCACTCATTTCAGTTATGTCCAATTCTTCATGACCCTATTTTGGGGTTTTCTTGGCAGAGATAATGGAGTGGTTTACCATTCCCTTCTCTAGTTCATTTTTACAGATGAGGAAATTCACACAAACAGGGTTAAGTGATTTGCCCAGGATCACACAGCTAGTAAGTGTCTGGGGCAGGATTTGAATTCATGAGAATGAATCTTCCTAATTCCAGGCCCAGTTCTCTATCTACTGCACTATCCACCTGCCTCTAATATATACTAACCAGTATACCATCTGAACTGAACTGAACTGAATACCAGGAGTAAAGAAAGGGAACCCACAGAAAAATAAGTCAGCTAGTTCCTATGCAAACAAACACCATAAATGGTTAATTTAACAAAAATGTACTAAGCATCTACTATGTGTAATACACCCTCAGAGCTCTATATGGAGCTGCTTTTATCTCTTACTTCCTCTTCCTAAAGTTGATTAGATCTTAACGGGGGGATGGGAGGGAGTGGCAGGGGTAGAGTGCAAAAATACTCAAACTGAACCCCACCACATGAATTTCAACTCTTTTCTCCCCAATGCCAAAAGTTACTGTTAACAATAAATTTCAAGGTCAAGTGTTTTGCAAATCTTAATGTGAACTGTTATTATAAACAGGCTGTGTTTGAAGGTGAAGGAGTTTCACCTCATCAAGTGCTTTCTTGTATTGTAGTTAGTTTTGAGCTGGCTGGAAACATTTACTTGAACTTAAAACTACACTAAGACTTTTGGGACAACCTGTATTATAGGTGCATGAGCACCGGCCACACCACTAGTCCCTTGGTTTAGACACTTACCATTAGTCTGAAAAGGCACGCTGGTGTAAGCTTTGTTGAAATCGGTGTTAACTGCTCTCTTAAGCACATTCAAAGTGATGTATGAAAGGCTAGTATAAAAATAGCTGTCAATGGCTAAGACCACGGAGTAGGAGCCAGTAATCCCACAAGCCAGTATGTTCAGCTACAAGAGATGATGTGAAAAACAGAGTCTTAGATTCCAACCTCCAAAGGAACATTGGCTCTCAGTCAAGTGCTAGCTACAGGAAGAGAGTCCTGTCTAACCCACAGAGGGTCACTGTAAGAAAGTCTTGAGACTTCAGCAAGGGTTATTGTCACCATGACAGACTGAGCTAAAAGCTTTAATCCACTTTACAAATTGCTTGCATCCTCATACTTGCTTGGACATATTCCGGCATCAATTCATTCAATAAATATTTATTCTGAATAAACCTTATTCTAAGATGATATTAACCTTGAGGGGGGACTGCAGTTTCCAGACAATTCCTATGTGGTATGGTGACTCAACCCCTTTTAATCAACTGCTTATTAAGTTATATAGTACCTTAAAGTTTACAAGACTGCCTCTTTATAACAATGCTGTGAGGCGGGTCATAATGTGTTTATCCATTTTATAGATGAGAAAACAGAGAGAGGTCAAAATGATTTGCAATTTCGATCATACACCAAACACCTTCTCCAATATGTCAAACTGAAAAAGGCCAAACTTTTGATAATGTTACTAAGCCACAGAATATCAGAGATTTGGAAGGTCCTCAGAGACCATCAAGTCTGACCTATACTTTACCAAAAATTGTTGTTGTTCAGTCATGTCCAACTCTTCATGACCCCATTGGGGGTTTTCTTGGAAAAGACACTGAAGTGGTTCAACATTTCCTTCTCCAGCTCATTTTACAGGAAACTGAGGCAAAGAGGGTTAAGTGACTTGCCTAGGGTCACACAGCTAGTAAGTGTCTGAGTTCAGATTAGAACTCAGGAAGATGTGACTCCAGGACCAGCCCTCTAATTGCTGTACCATTTAGCTGCCCCAAAAATTACCTCTTCAAAAATACCTGAAAAGTGGTTATCAAACCCACCTAGAGACCTCTAGTGAAGGGAAACCTACAACGACCCAAGGCAGCCCTTCCAATGTGGGACACACACACACACACACACACACACACACACACACACACACACACACACACACACACACACACTCTCACTCTCTCTCTCTCTCTCTCTCTCTCTCTCTCTCTCTCTCTCTCTCTCTCTCTCTCTCTCTCTCTAATCAAAATAGTCCCTTCAGGTACCTCTTTCTTCTTTTCTTCCTCATTTCCTTTTGTACCTTAAAAATGTCCCCCTTACTTTTTTAAACGAGTGTTTATTATTTCAGTACACAAAACATCAATGTCTAGAACCACACGAATAAAAATCATCATGACATACTTACAATTCTTAGGCAACCTATGAAAACTACAGGAATTGAAATGGCCATACAAGAAAAAGCCACCCAGAACACAGCATCATCGTGAAAAATCTTCAAGTCTCCTGGAAAAGAAAAAGAAAGAATTATTAGTCACAAAGAGTCCATAGGAAATCTAATCTTCTCAACATAAAGGAAACAGACAAACTTTACCTCCTTATACATTGTTGCAACTGAAAGTTAGAGACCTCAGATTTACAAGGTTTGGAAATGTATAAAAACTTGAAAAGGTGCTAAGTTATTTCTTTATCTTATAAGGTCTACATGTGCATGATTATACACAAACATTTTATATACATACACACACACACACACACACACACACACGTACACATACACATGTATATGTATTAAATATTCCTTTCCAGGACATTTTTAGATGTCCTGACTGCATAAGAAACTACCCATCCCTTAAATTTCAATTGAAGTGCCTTCCCCCAAGGAGCCATCCTTTAATTCCTCACCTTGGTAATAACAGCCACCCCCCCCAACCTCACAACATAATAATACATATTCATAAAAATGTTATGTGTATGGGTGTGTTCTGCCCTTATTAGATTATAAATGCTTAGCACAGTACTCTCTTCCCAGTAGGTACTTAATATCTGCTGAACTGAACTTTTTACATAAACTACAAAGGCAGCCCACATAAGTGTTGGGTTTGTTTTTTTAAACACCACCAGAAAGCACTGATAGAGCTCCTACTTTCTGTGTTCAGAACAGCAGGTAGAAATGCTACAAAATATAATACACGATCCTTGCTCGCAATAAGCTTAAACAACATAAAGCCATCTCTGTATCCCAAAGAAATCAAAGAAAAGGGAAAAGGGCCTATTTGTACAAAAATATTTAGGGCAGCTCTTTCTGTGACGGCAAAGAATTGGAAACTGAGGCGATGCCCATCAAATGGGAATGGTTGAACAAGTTTTGGCATATGACTGTGATGGAATACCATTATGCTATGAAAAATGACAAGCAGGATGGTTTCGGAAAACCTGGGAAGACTTATATGAACTGATGCAAAGTAAAGTAAGCAGAACCAGGAGAATTAAGTACACAGTAAAGCAATTTTGTAAGAAGAATCAACTGTGAAAAACTTAGCTACTCTGATCAAGACAATGATCCAAGATAATTCCAAAGGATCCATGATGAAAAATGCTATCTATCTCTATAGAGAGAACTGATGAATCCTTTTTTTTAAAAGAAGTAATGAATTCTGACTGCAGACTGAAGATACTTTTTTTAACTTTCTGTATTTTTAATGTTTTGTTTTCTTTTGCAACATGGTTCATATGGAAATATGTATTATGTGACCTCACACGTATAATCAAAATCAAATTGCTTGCCTTCTCAAAGAGGAGGGAGGGCCAGGAGGGAGGGAGAAAATTTGGAACTCAAAATTTTTTAAAATGATAGTTAAAAATTTTTTCTACATGTAAATGGGAAATATTTAATGAAATAATTTTTTCTTAAAAACCCAACAAGGGCACTAGCCCTGAAGTCAGGAGGGCCTGAGTTCAAATCTGGCCTCAGATCAAACACTTGGCACTTACTAGCTGTGTGGCCCTGGGCAAGTCACTTAACCCCAATTGCCTAAAAAAATTTTTTAAAAAAGAGATAAAGCTATCACCACATATTCATTATGCATCTATGTATGCCAGGCATTTGGGGAAACAAGACAAAAAAAAAGCATCACTACCCTCTATAGGAACTTATACTCTATTGAGGCAGAAAATATAAACATATATATTACATATATATGTGTGTGTATGTATATATGTATGTATATGTGTGTGTATATGTGTGTGTGTGTGTGTGTGTGTATACACACATATATACACACGCACAAAATATATACAGTTCAAGAAACAGGATTAATGCCCATGAAATAACAGTGAACGAGGCAATAATAGAATTAAATACTGAGCATCATAAATCATAAATGCCATAGCAGTTCAGAAGACAGGAAAAGCTGTGAATGGGGATTAAAAGATGAATCAAATGTAAAAACGTCTTTTCAAGCTAGAGGAACATTAGAAATACAGACACAAAAGCAGGAATGAGCATGTCACAATATGTTGGAAGGAGGCAGAGTACAGAGAGGTCTGCCTGACTGGATCAGTTCATGCATGCCAATGACTGGTGAGGAAAGGTAGGCAGGGCTTTGGAGACTATGGTTAGAGAGACTTGAGAAACTGGTTATAAATTCTTTCCCTTAAAAAAAATTATATAATGGAAGTCCACCCCTGTTTTTATACAACAAGTTAAGAATAGTTTTCCAATTCTTAAATACAATTTTATTGAATTTAATTTTTTAATTTAATTTAATTCTTTGAACAAAGGACCTAAACTACAGTTATAGAGTCTCCTACCTAGTGGAGTAAAGAAAGCCACAGATGAGATGAGGAATCCCAGGACTAGTCCAACACAGAGCATGCAAATCAGGATTAACCCAAATATCCACCAAACCATTACCAAGAGAATTCCACCAAGGCTTCCGACTACTGCAGTCAAAATTAGGCGATCTATTCAAAGAGTGGGGAAAGGAAACCATTTTACTCACATTTCAGACTCTATCTGCAGTCATGACTTGAAACAAACAAACTCAGCCTTAACATCTGTGACAAACTAGGATTTAACATCACAAGGCTCTTTAACAGCCCACAAAAACATGTCAACCCAGCTCATGGAGGAACTCTCTAAGAAGCCTGCCCCAAGATATGCTAATAATCATGGCCCTGACAGGAGCCTGGGTTTACAAAATCTTTCGACAGGTTTAGCACTAACTAGGTCAGAATCATAAAAATACATTAATTTTTTGTAACTTCCAGAAAAACTCTAGAAGCAAAGGCAAACAAATGCAGTTCCATGATAAACAAGGTGAAGTTGCCTCTAAAAACAAACATATTCACAACATGACCAACATGAGAATGTTTTGTATGTAGCACACGTATAACCCGTATCAAATTGCTTACCATCTCATAGGGAAGAGGGAGGTAAGGGAGGGAGGGAGAAAATTTGGAACTCAAAATCTTAAAAAAAATCAATGTTATAAATTATCTTTACATATAATTAAGGAAGAAATATTATTTTTCAAAAAACCCTGTGGAAGTAGTAGCTTGTAGGCAGCAGCCTACTCAACATTCTAATCATTACGCTGACACTATCTAGTGGTAGTGATGTTTTCTATTTTATTTTTATTCTGAATTTAAACACCAAATAAAACAGACACTTCCACATACACAGCAGAACAGAAAAAGAAAAGCATACATGAAAAAGCAGAACTCTAATTTATACAGCTTCTTTTCTTCTTTAAGTTCAACCTGTAGCTTTCTGAGCTGTCCTACTCATCTCTGGCATTAACCTTGAAGGATTACAATGTGATGGTGATCATAATACTACATTTACATCTATGCAAGGATACATAACATGCAACAGGCAGTCGGAACCTGTGATTTTACCGGTATAGGGAACTCCCTCTATCAATGTAGATCAGCAACTACCTGCAATTTAAAACCTTAAAGAGCTAAGTGACTTGTCTATGTATACAAGCAGTATGTGTCAAATGCCAGACTCAAACCTAGGTCTCCCTGACTCAGAAAGCAGCTCTTCATCCACTAGGCCAAGCATTCAGTATCAGCTGTCAAGGAGCCAAAAGAAGGCCAGAGAACTAACTCAACGTTTCCCCTCTCGACTCAGCAAATAGCTCATTTTTACTTACCATCATATTGAAGAAGAGTTAATCTTGTAATCAATATATAAAAAAAGAATCCCACGAAGATAAAGCCTATGAAGAACAGTTCTAAAAATAAACCACAAAGAGGAAACCACAGTTCAATACCTGGCATTTAAGTACACTGATGAATTTTTAAGGTTAACATTTTCTTCTCATTACCAGTATGCCCTTGAGCACCCAGCTCCTACACATTAGGACAAAGGAACAAGACAGTATTATGTGGCATAACAGAATTGAGCAGAATTATCAGCCATTCAATATTTTTAATCTTGAAACATGCCCACAGTAATGACAGTAGGGCACAAGTCTAGTCTATACAAATCACCTTTCAATTATCCTCTTTGTGAACGAGGAAGATTTATCATCATCTGAGCCTGGCATCCAGCTTGCTACCAGCACCCACACACAGACCACTCCCAACTTTGACAAGGATTACAAACTAAATTCTAGTATTAACCTATGCAAAATGAATTAGAGAAGTAAATTGGTTGATACATTGCTTAGTTTTGCTTAACTGATTTTTTTTCTTTTTTCAATATTTTGTTATAAGGGATGACTCTTTAAGTGGGAAAAGTACAACATGAGTTTACAGTCTACATCTGGCAATGAGATGATGTAAAACAAAAGATATCAATAAAAAATATTAACGTTTAAAAAAAGGGAAGTAAACCTGCACCTTCTGGTTCCTAAAGCAGTCCAAACCCAAAGATGTGATATCTGAATAATCTACTAACTATACCATTCCCCCTTTTAACATGAATAACCAAAAGAACTACACAACTTTAATGTAAAATCTAGTAATAATGTCTGGAGATGTCAAGGGCTTAGCAATAATTGCCTGCATATGGGAAAAGGTCTCAATTTGTCACATCATAAATTCATCATATTGTTCTTTCATATGACAGGAACATGATATGAGTACGAATGAGGCAACAATTAAGAAAATACATGGAGCTCTATCAGCTCACTCTGATTCGTTGGTTGAAAATATAATAGTGATTTTTTTTTCAAAGCCCTAATAGACTTAGGGATGTAAGTTTCAGTCAATTTCATCAGGATTCAGGATGAGATCACTGCTTATTCCTACCATCCCATCTATTAGTGTCAACTTTGGAGTCCTAACTTGCTCTCTACAAATCCATTAGTGGCCTGCATTTTTACAGGCACAGACCATGACAAATAAAACACTCTTTGGACACTGCAATGGGTATCTCATTTATGCAACACAAAATGCAACAATTATTCCCCCAAAAAACTTCACATTAATATCTAGTGATTTTAAAAAATAAAAAATTTCATCAAAAGAACTCTGCAACGCCACACAAATATGTGGTACCTAAACGAACCTTCTTTTTTGAGGGGAAAAAGTGGAATTCTAAGTGTCGAGAAAAGACAAAATGCAGAGCAATTCCTCATTCTCACACATTTGGTTAAATGTATAGAGATACTATTTGTTTAGGTCATAGAACACTAGTAACATTCAGAAGAGCACAGAAATATATTAAAAAGGTAGAGAATACCTGTTTTCCAGAATCGGTGTCCAAAGAAACAAATAAAGAGACCAAGAATAGCAAAAATGGTGAAAAACACTTTGGTTGAAAGCCTTCCTAGAAATAATTAAAATAAAATAAGAGTCATATTTGGTGATCATCTGAAATGCTATCCAGGTTTAATTAACAACTAGAAGGGCCAGGAGTATCAAGTGAAACAAAAACTTTGCTTTTCAATAAAAATCCTCATCCTACCATCTCATTTTCTTTACTATACGGATTTTTTAAAATGCCTTACATGAACTGACAAAGCTTGATGCTTTGAGGTCTTCTTAAACTCTTGTCCTTCTAGTGTTCACAGACCAAAAGGTCACAGGAAAAGAAAATGAACAGATCATATTCAATAGCTGCTATCTCCACCTTTAGCACAAGAGCGCAGAGCTGGAAGGTACTTTGGAGGGCAGGTCCAACCCCGATACGAACAAGAATTCCCTCTCCAGTCTATAGCATTCCCAAGTGGTCAGCCAACCTTTGTCTAAAGACCTCCACCATATCCTAAATGGCTCTAATTGTCACCAAATTTTTCAAGCCTCTCTCCATCTCCTGTCTCCCCACTGCTCCTAATTCTGCCCACTGGGTCAAAGCATAGCAACCTGTTTATCCTTGCAACAGCTGAGAGAGTTAGCCTAATGCCAGCACCCTGTTAGTTCAGGTTAAATGCTGGAATGAAATGAGGCTCTTGAAAGTCAGGGAACGATTCATAAAAAAGAGGTTTTATTTGCCCAAATACAGCAAAGTTATTCAACAAGAATGCCATGGCATTCAACTTATCTCAATGCAGCCCCTCTCATCTCCATCCAGAAACACATCTGGTCAGTAAGGCAGAATGTGGTGCCATCAAGTAAGAAGTGCCCTACTTTCCAGCTTGTCCATACCCTTTCTAAAATATAACAGTCAGAACTGAACACAATACTACAGGTTAAAAGTCTGACCAGGGAAAAGAACAATGCAATTACTGATGATTTTCCACGTTCTGGACACTATGTCTTTAAATGCAGCCTGAGTTTGTATTAGGGTTTTTGGCCACATCTCACACTGTCATACAGAGCTTACAGTCCACTGTAACTCTAAATATTTCCCAGAGGAACTGCTGTCAGACCATGTTCTGACCATCTTATACCTGAGTTTAAAAAAAAAAATCAACTTCACAAGCAAAGGATTTTACATGGGTCCGTATTAAAGTTCATCTTATTTGATCTGGACCAACATGATAGCTTTTATGCCATCCTACAGGCCCACAAAACAAGCACTTCATTATATTTTTGGACTTGATAAAATCATTGCTTCAAAGCACAAATCCAGAAAGCATCTACTAATACACTGGAAGTCACAGTGCTAAAAATTAAAACCCATTTTGCTAATTGCATAACTTTCGGTGAAGAAAGTTTTCTTCTTGTGTCTAACATAATTAATCATGAAGCACGGTAATTAAATGTTTCCTGTTGTCAATGAAAACCTGATCCCATGACTCTTACTCTCAAATTTATGGTCTAACAGCTTCTCAGAGATAAAACTGCTTGATCAAAGCATATTTTTTCATGATTTTTTTTTTTGGTCTATGTTTTCTTTCACAACACGAATACTATGGAAATATGTTTTACATGGCTGCACATGTATAACCAATATAAAATTGTTTACTGTCTTAGGGAGGGGAGAGGGGAGAGAGGAAGGGAGAGAATTTGGAACTCGAAATTTAAAAAAATGAATGTTTAAAATTGTTTTTACATGTTTCATTTTTACACGTTACAATGTTTTACATTGGGAAAAATAGATATCATTCATCAAAAAGAGATAAAACTGCTCCTTCAATTTGCCACTGACGTGCTAGTGACTTCAGAGTCAAGTGAAAAGAGAATGATCCTCTGATATATTTTTAAAACAAGGTCACCTATATTCCTCAAGCGTCATATTAAAATTCCTCATGCTTTCACAAAACAAAAAACCAAAATACAATTTGTCCCCCAAAGGTCTGTTTGTCGGGAATTGTTACCAGCCTGATTGTTTAGAACAGGGGTGGGGAACCTGTGGCCTTCTAGGTCCTTGACTGCAGCCTTTTGACTGAGTCCAAGTTTTACAGAGCAAATCCTTTTATTAAGGGGATTTGTTCTGTAAGTTTGGATTCTGTCAGAGAGCTGCACTTGAGGATCTAGAGGGTCACACGTGGCCTTAAGGGCACAGGTTTCCCATCCCTGGTTTAGAAACTCCTGTTTAGTCATGATGGTGGTTATCAACCTACCAGTGGTGAGGAAAGAGGGAGCTATAAGTTTACCTGCTCAGCCAACACACTTACCAATAAATCACGAATTGAGGGTACAGCAGCTTTCTATTTGTTGCTGGATCTTTTAACCCCTGATTCAAAACTATAGACCCTTTGAGGATAATCCAATCCAACCTCCTTATTTAGCAGAGGAGGAAAAAACTCAAAGGAATTAAGAGGGTTTCCCGAGGCCACACATCATGGTAATATGAAAGGATTCCCCCGAGTTGCAGGCTTCTATGAGACGCTCCCTTCCACCTCTGTTGCTGGTTTTCATTCTCTATTTCAATCTCTTTATCAAAGACATATTTTCTATTCATTTATTAATATGGTCTGATATTGATAAAATACTCAAAAAATTTCAAATGTTGATTAGTTGAAAAACTTTTTCAAGGAAACCCAAGACCTTGAAATTGAAAGGAGTTCTGTCCTAACCTGGGCAAAAACATCAGACATCTACCTCCCTCTTTTTGCATATACTGTCAGACTCTCGATGTGCTGGTTAATTTTGTTTAATTTTTCTTTCTCTTTTTTATTCTTTGTTAGAGGAAGATGGCTCATTGAATAGGAAAAGAGGGGAAGGGTTATTGGAAAACAGGAACATTGACACGACGTTGGTGAAGCTAGGAACTGGTCCTGCCATTCTGGAAAGCAATTGGGAACTATGCCCCAAAATTTATAAAATTCTGTTTTATCCTTTCATCCAGTGATACCACTATTAGGTCAACACCCCCAAAGAAATCAAAGAACAAGAAAAATGGTCCATAGATGGAAAAACATTTACAGCAACTCTTTTTGCTGAGGTTTTAAAAAAAAAGTGAAAATGGGGATGGGTCGGGGAGAGGGAAGGTGTTAACTAAGGAATGGCTGAACAAGTTATGGTATATCAATGTGATGGAATACTATTGTGCTGTAAGAAATGAGGAAGGGGATGGTTTCAGAGACATCAGAGAAGGCCTGTACAAACTAAAATAAAGGAAAGAGAGCAGCAGAACCAGGTAAACAATTTATCCCCCTGGCAATAACATTGTAAAAAGACAGAGCTTTGAAAGACTTAAGAACTCTGATAAAGGGGATGACCAATCATGATTCCAGAGAACTCAGGATGAAAAATGCTATCCACATCTTTTTTTTTAAATCAAAATATATGGTTTATTAGGTGGCAATTACATTACTAACATTTCTCTGAATCCACCCCTTTCCTGTCCACTTTTAGCCCAATATACCCGCTTTAAATTCCCTACAGGTCAATCAGCCCATTTCTTGTCATATGGCACAGAAAATCTGTCCAGTGTGTCTCAGCCTGCTTGCCCTTTTCCCAGTTGAATCCTCCTTCATCTGACTACAGACTTCACAACCCTGCTCCTCTCTGGAGGATGGGCATAGTCTGGGCCCAAGGATACCAACATCTCTATTAGCTGATCGACGAAGTGCTATCCACATCTTGACACAGCGGTGAGAGACTCAGGGTACAGAATGAAAGATTTTTTTTTCAGACATAGAAAATTCAGGAATTTGCATTGCTTAACTACACAATTTGTTAGAAGGGTTTTTTTTTTCTTTTTCAGGGGTAGGGGGAGCAGTGAGAAAAAGAGAAAGTAGCTTTTTATTCACTGAAAAATATAATTTAATTTTAAAAAATGATGAATCAATAATGTACCTCTTTCATTTGCAGATACATACCTTATTGAGTTTTTTTAACTAATAGCTACTAAAACTAAACATTGAAATTATCTTAGAACCATGTGCACATAAATAAAATGTATAAATAAATGTACATTTTTTTTTAAATAAAGAGGAGGTAAATTTGGAAATGAAGGTGATTTAAAAAACAAAAGATAAATAAAATTGTGGAAATTTTTTAAAAGAGAAATTTCTCTTTTCTCTAATCTCTAGGTATTCTCTAGAGCATTTCAAGATGCTAGCAAAAAATATGGAAAAGAAATGATATGTAGCCAAGGCAGAATACTCTGGGGGGAAAAGGAGGCAGGTCTTACTGGACCTAAAGGAAAGTGCTGAAGATCTAGAGCAGGGATAGAGAACCTGCGGCCTGGGGGTCTAGGTCCTCAAGCACGGCCCTTTGACTGAATCCAAACTTACAGAACAAATCCCCTTAATAAAAGGATTTCTTCTATAAAACTTGGACTCAGTCAAAAGGCTGCACCCAAGGACCTAGAAGGCCACAAGTGGCCTCAAGGCTGCTGGTTCCCCACTCCTGATTTAGAGTACAGTCATGGGTAAAGAAACATCAGCTGGGGAACAACACAGACAAGAAAAATGAAAACGATCACAAATTTAAACTCACTGGGGCTAAAAATATAAAATGACAGCAGGAACACCAATAACCATATTGAAATTCCTTATTGGCCGAGACCAGTCTTTGGAGGCAAAGGGTTCTTTCTTTTTCAGATGAACGGATTAATGCACTCACCAAGAGAAGAACAATTATCTAGGGTCGTATTGAAGCGACAGGCATATGTGTGAGCAGGAACGTAAGCAGTTGATGTATTTAAAATGGGGTCCCGTACAATCACATTATAAATTACACCCTGTCCTGGGACAGATGAGAAGTAAACAATGGTCTTATCACTAGATTTTAGGGTAGCAACCTGAAACAAAAAAATGACAACTTGATAACTTTGTGCCCAAAATTAAACAAAAACTCTACTCGACATATCACAAGCTTAACATGCCTGTAGTAATAACATTTAAATGACAATTCAATTGAAATCGTTTTCTACAGAGCAGACACCAAACGCTTTGGAGGGTAGAGCTTTTGCACCCCCCATTAGGAACAAGACTTAACATGGCATCTTCACGAAGCTCTTCCATAGTTTTTAAATTTTCATAACCTAGGCTGTGGAAATGATAGAAACAAAATCCATGAATGATATTTGAAGACAAACTGAATTGTCTTTTAGATCACCTGGGTTTCCATTTTGCAAATGCGCAATTCACCTCCTCATCTCCAAGTTTCCATCTTCCCTTTGTCACAGGAGCTGAACAAAACATTGTTCACCATTAAACAGCATGGTTCAACATCATATGACAATGCGCAATGCACTCATCCTAAACTCAGATGCATCTGTTTTGAAATGCCAATCATGAATTGCTGTTTCTATCACACACACACAACCACCTCTATGATGGCCTTATATGATACCACTAATACATGGATGTTTAACTATTCTAAAGTTTAATCATTTGCCTTCTAGATGATTTCAAAGTTTTAAAGCCCTCTGGAATTAGAAACTAAACAGGGACACCTGCCTATCAACCAGCTCACTGATAAACATTTATTAAGAGCCTACTATGTGCCACACACTGTGCCTATGCACGAGTATATCACTCTGAGGGTTAGGATTTTATCAATAAAAGCTTCTGCAGCTCAATAAAACTTGAGAATTTATCTTGCCTGCAAACATGAGATTATTCAGGTTCAAATGCTAGTCCCCCATTCCTTACGGAGGCAGAAATAAAAGTTTCACATTTGTCATGCTTGGCTTATTTTGAGCGCACTATATTCCTCAAACTCAACCAAAGGTTGTTTGTGGGTCTATTATGATGGTAGATAAATAATGCCCACATTGATCTTCTCTGTATCACTCCATCAGGTCATACCTGTTCTCAACTAATACTCATGCATTTTAAATAAGCCAATTTGCAACATGAAAACATCTTGGGATGGCATTAGTTAAGAATCCCAAAATGACAGCTCAATATTTCAAAGAGTTAAAGTTTTATAGGCAATGGGTAACGAGCTTCTCAGAGATTAATTAGGCTGGACTTCTGACAAAGGACCAACAATCCTTTACTGAACACATACTCACGGTCTTTCCATTTTGGTAGTACCCAAGCCTGTCGTCCTCTGCTAATATGACCTTCTGGAACCTGCTGTGACCTCCATGGCACAAGGAGGCATGAGAGTAAGGCTTTCATGGAGTAGTTTCACAAGATTAGAAACTAAATACAATGAATTCATAACCCTAAAAGGGCTAACCTTATCTTGGTGGCATCTGAAAAGCTGCTTTTTCTTTTTCTTTTTCTTTTTTTTTTTTTTAACTTTGCATCCCTCATACCATGCCACAGACTGGGCAGAAAAGAAAAAGGTGAAGCATTGCTTTCTACACTTGTTTTCACTGAATAGTATAAGTTGTTTTCTTGTTTCTGATCACTTTACTCTACATCAGTTCATATAAGCCTCCCTAGTTTTCTCTAAAAAGCATCCCCTTCATCAATTCTTACAGCTTGCTAACAATCCATTATATTCATATATCAAAATCTATTCTGCCATTTCCCAATTGATGAAATCCCCTCAGGTTTTCAGTTTTCTGCTATTAAAACTTTTCTACATATATGGGGTCCTTTTCTTCCTTGCTTGATCTCTTTGGGGTATCAAGGGTCAAGGAGTAGAATTAACGGATCAAAGAGAATGCCCAGTTTAGTGACTTTTAGGGCACAGTACCGAATTCTGCACTTACTTTGAAACCACTGGCTTCTATCTGAGACACCATAGACATCTTCTGCATGTGTCCTAGTAGCACCTCTTCAGTGAGGTTGTTCTCAGGCAAAAAATACTGATAGATATCATACCGCAGTCTCCACCTCGAGTCCAGGCCAGTCCCCAGATCACAGGGCAGAGGATCTGTGCCTCTGAAATAAAACACAATTACATAGAAGCACAGACACTCTTCCCTTACAACTTGGGTCTCAAACACAAGCAAAAACAGAAAACTAGCTCTTAAAATAATTTTACAGACTTAAAAGGAAAAGCTTAAAATTACATTTAAATTGTAGAAAATTCATAGCCCCACTTTTCACACTGAGAAATGGTAAATTCCATTTCTCTATTTAATGATCCATTCAATCCAACCCAACATGCATTTATTAAACACCTATAATACATAAGAAAGCACTGTGCTAAGCAGGGGACACAGAGATCAGATGAAAACCAGGACTATTTCCGTACACATAGGGCTTTTCTTCCTATCAATAACCTCCTTTGGGGTATCAACCTAGAAGCTGAATCACTCAATCACGGAATGTAATAATTTTCCAACTTTTCTTGTATTATTCCTTATGGCTTTTCAAAATGATCATGTGTGCTACAGTTACCCAAAAAAAACACTCAGAGATTTTCTAGGTATAAAGTGAAAGATTTACTATGTGCTCATGAGAAGCGGGTGTCTGCAGTCTGAGCTAAGCGAGGCAAGGCACAAAGGTCAGAACAAAGGTTATATAATCCTAACGCAGAGACACCCACCCACCACTGGCTGTAAATTCCCACTGGACAGGAATTTCAGCCTTACAATCTAAAACGCAAAAATCTACCCCAGAAATAAGGAATCTCATTATAATACTACCAATCCTAGCTATTTTATCCTTATTTAGCATTAGCCATTACCTAATACTAATGTAACAGTACAGATCATGTGTTTTTCTAGGAACTTGAAACTTGGGCCTATTCAGGCTAGCGTAACCAACCTTGAGTTTGTAACAGTCTACAAAACAGTCCACAAAACAGTCCATCTGAGAGATCTCACACTGTTTACATTGTCTTACTCAGTCAGACCAACTAACAGCTTTATCAGAAGTGAATAATAGTCTAAGTTTGCTTTTTAAATCATGCTAATCTAATCTATTCCACTTACATACTTTTTTTTTTAAATTAGCAGATTTTGGATAGTTACTATTTCATAATAGAATATGAAAGTTGTTTGGTTTTTTTTGGACAATTTCCCTTTATATTCTTGACCTTTTGTTCCTTCACCAGAATTTTATTATTTCATCTAATTATATAAAACATTTTCTTTCTATTTTCATTGGTATGATGGGCTTGCTGAGGAGTTTTGTAATATTGACTGTATTAGCTCATCATAGCCAGGAACACTAAATAATTCTGTTATGTGTAGATCTTCCTTTTATTTCTGTAAAAACTGGTTGGTAGTTGTATTTAAGTCCTTTATGTATCTTGCTAAAGTGAATAATCAGATATTTAACACCAAAATGTGTTATTTTAAAGGAAATTTACCCTTCTATCCATTTTACTGGTTAGAAGAACTATTGGAACTTATTTTTATATAAGCCATTCAAGTTTAAAACTGCACCAAGACTTTTGGGACTTGCTGGATAAAAATGCTGGTTATTTCTGTGGATTTATTTTCTATCCTGCTTCTTGGCTAAAGTTCTATTTTCTTAATTTGTGCTGATTCTCCAATGTTTTCTAAATATACTATACTGTTACATATTGTTACAAATGAAGATGGCTCTTCTTTCCCAATTCTTGGCCCCTTAATTTCTTTCTCATTGTTTCTTCTTTTACCTCTGCATTTATGTTTTCTATCTAAGCCCAAGGTTCCCAAACTTATTTGACCTACCGGCCCCCCTTTAAAAAAATTACTCAGCACCCCCCCGGAAATCTACTTTCTTTAACCCTTTAATTTTTTTTTAAATTTGCATCAATTCAAAAAAACATAAATTTTTTAAATGACACACCTTAAATTTAATAATTTATTGAAAAATTCGTGGGTTTTTTCCTGCATTAAAATTCTGATGATGCAATATTGTGTCATGTAACTATAGTATCATATAGTAAACAAGTCATTACATGCACATATTCCTGCTGACGCATGTTCCACCTCCAGACAATGTGCTACACACTCACCTGCCAGCACTTGCTTGTTAAGACCTGTTGGCGGACTTGACCACTGATCAGTTATAACTTGCATTTTGTGTGTTTATTTGGAAAATAATGTAATCACTACAACTTTAACTCTGTTACACAACAGATGAAACACATACAAACAGTTTTTTAAAAATGTCTTCTCTTCTTTCCTTATGCTTCCACTCAAGGCTCCTCAACTGCAACTGAGGCTACCACACCACCCACTGGATTGCTCCAGCACCTCCAGGGGGCCATTCAGTTCCTCAAAGAATCTACTGATTTAGCTATGCCAAGTCATGTCAGTATCTTCCTGCCTTTCTTTCAGCAATTTTTAAAAAATATCTATTTTAATATATGCCAGATCCTCCTTCATTTCTCTTATTGATCTTATAATAACCACAGTGGAGGGTCTCGTGGTAGATCTAGTTTTGCTTAGGGACATTTACCCGCCACAAGTGTTGCTGTTACACTGCTGTTCAGTTGAGTCCTACTCTTTGTGACCCCATGGCCCATCTCACACTAATATCCATCCTTCCCTCCAGAAGCTTCAATAGATTTTATATTTTGTTGGTCTTGTTTTAAATTTTTGTTACAGTTCAGCTGTTTCAGTTACACCCAACTCTTCATGACCCCATTTGGGATTTTCTTGGCAAAGATACCAGAGTGGCTGGCCATTTCCTTTAGGCAAATAAGGTTAAATGATTTGCCCAGGATCACATAGCTAGTAGCATCTGAGGCCACAATTGAAATCAGGTCTTCCTGACTCCAGGCCCATCACTCTCTATACTGTGTCACCTAACTGCCCACTATATTTTGTCTTTAGAATCCCAGCAACTAGCAGAATTCCTGAAACATATAGTAGGTAATTAATAAATGCTTAACTAAATGCATACAGTTCAAACAGACCTTGAGAATACCCCCTTTCTTTATGCCTTAACTACGATAACAATAATAGTTGTCACTCATACAGCACTTTAAGGTTTGCAATGTGCTTTACATGTCAACTCATTTAATCTTGTTCAGATCTGACCTCAGACAAGTGTGTAGCTATGTGAACCCGGGCAAGTTATTTAATCCTGTTTGCCTCAGTTTCCTCCACTGCAAAATGAGCTGGAGTAGAAACTGGCAAACCACTCTGGTATCTTTGCCAAGAAAACCCCCAAATGAGGTCACGAAGAGTCAGACATGACTGAAATAACTGAACAACAAGCAATTCTGTGAGGCAGGTGTTATCACTTCCATTTTACAAATTGGGAAACTGAGATAAAGAGAGGTTAAGTGACTTCCCCTAGGTCACAAGGCTAAGTATCTGAAGAAGGATTCAAACTCAGGTCTTCTTGACTGCAAGTCCTCTACTCCAACCAATGAGCAACCTTTACATGCAGATTTACAATACAGCAGCTTTTAATCTAAAAGAAACTTAGAGAGTTACACACACCTGGCATGTCCTAGATTTGCTGGGGCAAATTTGATAACTGTTTCATATAAATTATACTCCAAGTAAATGTTAGGATCCACATCTAAATCAAACTCCAGATTACAGGCTCCAGGGATAGGATCTAGAAGTAAAATAAACAGTTAAGTTATGAGAGATCATGTCCCTCGAATCCTCCAACCATGTACAAGTGCAGACAAGCAAAGCTTACAACTTTTTACAGCCCAACATTCACCTCTCTGAAGGTCAATGTCCTTCAGATCTCAGTTACATGGTACACCAGCCACTGAGGGAAATTTATAAGAGGGAAAGGGTATGGAGAAAAAGAGGGAAGACCAAAAAACTTACTTCAACACAGAAGAACTCTATGATGGACAAGAGAGAAAGATATGTCTCTTAATTTACAATTTCCAAGACAAGAGCAAAAATGTAGAGTTGAACACTCACCAAGGGCTGCTGGTGATTAATTAAAGGCTGGACTAAAATTGGGGGTCATTCATTAACTCTAACAAGGCTAATAATGTAACAGATCTTCTTTACCCGATGAATACCACCCACAGGAAACTGTAGACCGGTGAACTAAAAGAGTCATCATCAAGTTAAAGGCACTAACTGGGTTGCTGGAGGAGACTGTGTAGCTCAAACCAAGAGTTACCTTTTTCTGAATAAGAAAGTGGAATAGCCACACTCCAGACATCATCAGCATCAGAAGTCTCTAAGTACCAAGTACAAATACTCTGTTCTGGTCTAAGAATGGAAACAAGGCCTTTGTCCACACCTGTTCCTGAAGCATCTGGAGGAGGATTCTGGAAACGAAAGGAAAAAAAAAATAATCACCAGACAGCACCACCACCAACACCACAGACACAGTGAATTAGGCAATGTTGACTACAAATATGATCCACTCTTATTGGACATTCCCCACAATGTTAACACTACAAGCTAGTGGCTGGATAACAACTGGAGACCTTATGAAATGCATCTCAGCAAAGGCCACTATCAGAAGTATGAGGCAAGGGCCAAGTCGAAAAGAGAACTAAATTACGAAGGCATTCATTTTTTATAAGACAAATTCTCCGAACAAATATTCTCCAAGGCAGAACCTGCTTCCATCAATATCAACCAATAAATCAGTATTTATTAAGTACCTCCTATGTGCCAGATGCCGTGCTAAGCACTAGTGATACAGAAAGAGACAAAGTCCCAGCCCTTATGGAGCTTACAATCTAACTGATTATCTAATGGATAATCTAATCTATCAACACTACTCACTCACTATGGCTCAATCTTGATTTTAAAAATAATAATAATCCAAAATTTAAAGAGTCCATCATTTAGAAGGGAGATTTAGTTCTATTAGCATACACAAGATGTTTTCTAACAGATCCAAAGACAGAAATGAACTGAAACGAGGGGAACTCCTCATACAGACCTTGTAGAAAGAGACTGTTATGTTCTGGTACTGAGAATGTACTTGGAAGATTATAAATGTGACGTTGCTTGCAATGTGACGCAATACAGCTTCTTCTGGAAAGGGTCTGTTGAGCACAAAGTGTCTAAATTTCCCCAAAGAAAATTCAAGAAGACCTGAAATGGGAAGATTTTTAAAAAATTATTATTACATTTGCACTTCTACTATCAGCTGGTAAAAGTATCATGATAGGCATAACACTACACACACACACACACACACACACACACACACACATACATATTCACCTTCCACAAGATAAACAAATTGTCGTTTCTTGACCCAGTCCCTCCATAAGAGAAGAGATACTGGGGAAAAGATGGAAGTCAAATCTTCTGCCTCTAAATAATAACATCATTCTTCTGTTTCAAAGTCACTGGACCCTGAAACCTGGTCAAACAAGTATACCTACTATAAATAATTTTGGACTTATAGAACTTCCATGTCTCACTCACCTCAGTTTCTTTTTTTTCCCTTTTTCCTACTATGCTCTTTCTTTCCCCTCTTCCTATCTTAACTGGACAAAACATAGACTTGGAATATATCATAGTTATTCAGTAAAACTTTAATCTCTTTTTCATTCAACATTAGTTTTTAAAATTACTTCTTGTCCTCTATCCCCAAGAGAAAGAAACATTCAAAAAATATGAAAAGATTTTGAGAAAAAAAGTTTGCTTTTTTTTAAAAGGGAAAAGCTAAGAAAAGGTAAGAAGGAAAAGTGTTTTCCTGACTTTCTCTAGGCTTTAACTTCTCTAAATATATAAAGCACAATTACGTGCAACATTTTCTAATCCTAAATCACTTTTTATCTATAAAATATACATTTCAAGGTACTATGCATATTTTGATTTCCTCAAGGAAATTGAAATCTACAAGGGTGAAAAGACCTATAATTACTGCAACTTCAGATTTGACAAAATGAACAAAAATAACTTTAACGAAAAAGATAATGCTTTCATTATCCATTCTAAGATTATAACAAATGGTTATGACCAATAATATAAAAAACCAAGTTACAAGGAAAGAAGGGTGAGAAATAACCGTGTATGTCTTTTCTTTCTTTTTGAGTAAACATCACTTCTTCTGAAACCACACCCTGATCCCTTTGGGAAACAGGTCCAGGATACACCCCAGGGATCCTTCCTGTCTCATTTCTTTCCTGTTCCCTAATGCCTGAAGTAAGCAAGGGAGAAGGTGATGGGCACAGACAGAACTGCAAAGAATCAATAGTGAGTTAGGTGGACAAGGGGAGGGGGGAGGAACATACAGATGAGGTGGGTTGGGTGAGTCAAGGGTTAGTGACTCAGTAAGAATTAAGGCTGGAGTCAGTAGCCCCAGCTGGTAATAAGGTACATGGTGTGAATGTGTGTGACTGGATGGTGGGGCTGAGCTGTGCTCTGGGTCCCAGTGAGTCCCTTACAGTTTAGGCAGGATGAAAAACCTGGCCAAGTTTCTCTGAATGGAAAGAGGGTGCATGCATGTGGGTGAAAGGCAGAAGAAGGTGATGAGTAAATCACAAAGGGAACTACTTGGACCATAGGCCTTGAGAAAGACCACCATGATGGAGGGTGAAAAATCTGTGGTACCATTGCTGGGCGACAGCCAGTAGGGGCAAAACATGAAATGAGGATGTAAAAGCAGGTTGCAGCCAGATTGCAGAATGCCATGAATGCCAGGCTGAGTTTTTACTCATCACTGGGGCATCCAAGGACCCACTTGAGCAGGGGGGTGACAAGTACAGATCCGTGTCTTACGAAAACAGGAACAGAGTGAAGGAGGTAGAGAGGTACCGACTAGGCTATTCCAGTTGTCCAGGCTAAGGATAATGAGTGCCCTCACTTGGGGTAGGCTGTGTGGGCAAAGAAAGAAGATAAAGCCAATGGTGATTGGGAAGAAAATGCAATCAGCAAGAGAAATACCAAAGTTTGGAGTAGAAGCAAGTTGGTGGGAGATTTAGAATTCAATTTTTATAATATTGATACTGGGATCAATTCATAAGCATGTATTAAGTGCATGTTATATGTCAGTCACTTTATATAGAGACAAAAATAACACTACCTTCTCGACCTGGGGCAAGTCCTTTAACTTCCATACAGACATCAGTTTCCTTAACTATAAAAGAAATAGGTTGGATTCCATGACCTTTGGGTTCCCTGCCAGCTCAGGGTCTACAAGCCTAAACAGTCCCTGTTCAAAGAGCCTACACCAGGCGAGACAAAACACACGAGAATTTAATAATCTCAGGGGAGGTCACTGAAGCGGGGATTTCATACATAAACAAGTTCCTATGCAAAGTATTTTTAAGAGTATGCATAAGCAGTTGAGGTAGGTGAGAATTAGCACAGGCCTAATGTAGGAGGGGACGGCTTTCGAGCTGAGTTTTGAGGGAAACTAAGGACTTCTTAGAGAAAGGTGACAAGGGAGTGCATTCCAGCCTTGCAGAGGCATAGAGAAGGGAAACAATGTCATATGATGGCACCATATTGTGCCTTTCAAAATTAAAATCATGAAAAAAAAATTAATACTCTTTTTTTTATATTTTCAATCAAAAACAGGCTCACAGTAGAAGAATTCACAGAAAATGGAACGGTCAGTAAGAATAAACAAGTCAAATTAAAAACAGTAAACATAAATTGAAAACATTCCCAAAGTTTCTAGGAAGTAGAATTGGTTCTCTCCAGACTAAGATGGACTTTGCACATAATTGTTGAGAGGACTCATTTGAGGAAATACCTTGTCATTTAATTATGATTTTATCCTTAAATGGTTAAATGGAAACCGAGGCATAGTGTTCTATCAAATCATTCAGGCTCAACAAAATAGGAGGTAATAAGCTGAACAGATAAAAGCGTTTTAAGAAAAAAAAATTTCTTCAACTGACCTCTTTTCAGGAAGCAAGTCAGTCTGACAGTTGGAATCTATATACCACTTCCTTCTTTTATTTACTGATTTCCTGAAGATGACCCGAAAAAAAGGGCACGGGAGCCTCATGTGCCTTGAGGGGCAAGAACCAAGTAAAAGGAACCCCACAAAATGACCACACTTTGGGAAGCTACAGGCCAAGTCAGGAAGGAATAAAGATGTATCAAGAAGAAAAGCTACTCAGTGAATTTTACTTTTTTTTAAACCTACAATCCTTGACTTCTCTCAATTTGCTTTTCATGGAAATGACCTTGGCAAGTTAAGACCCATCAGCAATTCCCACTGGACTCAACGCAAAGCAGCACCAAGCTAAAAGCATCTTACAAATGATTGTGTATTTCACAACCATTAAACTATATGTGCTTTTGATGGTGTGTCACACATACAGGAAGACCCAGAAAACTTGCTACCCAAGTCCTGGCACTGTCAAGCGGTTCAAGATCAGAAACTGATACGCTTTTGTCAGAGGAAATGACATTAAAAAAGAGACACGGCCATCTATTTTGCCACCTCACTCTAAGGACCATGGGACCCATCCATCTGACTGGCAGCTGAAATCTCCCATATGTCCTCTCCCCCGTTAGAATGGGAGCAGAGCATTATTTCCGATGTTTAGTACAGGGCTTGTGAACACAGTAACTGCTTAATAAAAAGCTGGAATTACAAAATTGGAAATCACAAAAAATTGGAAATACAAAAGAATTAGAAGCAGATACTTAAAAAAAAACTGGTCCAGGTGAAATAATACTATGCTATTAATTTCCACCCACGGAGACAGAGCTAGCAAAGGCAGACGTCTGCCCTAAAGACAACACAGAGCATGTAGAAACGGGACAAAAGCTCATTCCTCTGAGCACATCTGAAAAGGCATACATGAAAAAGATTTCATGAGGTTTAAATTAGGTCTTATGACTTTGGGAGTAGGAGGCAGAGAAACAGGCAGAAGGCACATCAAACAGTATCTACAGAACAATTGTCTTGAGATTGAGTCCTGAGAACAGGCACAGTCTGAATCTTGCCTGTCATCAAGCAATAACTTTTAAAAAAAAGTTTTCCAGCAAGTCTTCACAGGAATCTATCTGATTCAGCAGCAAGAGGCTACTTTTCATTTAACATCTAAGCTCAGCTTTTAATCATCACTCATGGCTAATTTTTCTTTCCTCCAGTCCACAAATAAACAATGAAAACTAATCTACTTTTTTCTACTCCTATCAGACCCTAATTAGACCCTAAGATATTTCTAAACCCAGCTCATTATTTAGTATTTACTTATTTCTACCTCAATTTTTCTGATTTTTAAAAAAAATTCTCTCCCACTTGATAGTTATCCAGATGTTCTCTAGACAATGTGGTGAGGTGGAGGAGAGATATGGCCTTCAAAAACAGCTTGGGGAGCTCAGGCCTTGGAGTCAAGAGGACCTGAGCTCAAATTTGGCCTCAGACACTTGATACTTACTAGCTGTGTGACCCTGGCCAAGTCACTTGACCCCAACTGCCTCACCAAAAAAGAAAAAAAAACCAGTTTGGGAGTTTAAAGCCAGCCTCTGAAACATACATGGGTGTGTGTGTGTGTGTGTGTGTGTGTGTGTGTGTGTGTGCGTGTGTGTGTATGTGTATGAGAGAGAGACAGACAGACAGATAGAGAGACAGACACCCTGGGCAAGTCACAACATATCAGCCCCCAGGAAATTCCTTTTATAAACTACAAAACAGTGCTTGATCTGCACTGGTAAAAGAAAATCCCTCACAGAGAGTTCTTTACACCAATGAAATCACAGTTCTGGGGAAAAACAACAAAAAATTAATCTCAAACGTATAATGAAGACTGCGAATTAAGACAAAGAATTTAGATTCAACAAAAACAGGAAAATTGTCAATAAAAAAACTGTCAGTCACCCATTTCAATCTCCTATTTTCTAACTTCAACTCAAACAAGAAGAAGAAAAGAAGACAATCTTTGAGTTTATAATCTAGAAGAGATAAAACACACAAAGCAAAAATAGGGGGTTTTTTTTCCAATTTTTAAGAAACTGAAGAGGAAGAGATTATTTTCAATTGGGAGAAAGGAGGCAATCCAGGAAGATCTCATGGAAGAAGTGGTGCCTGAGATAAGGGGAATAAGAGAACAAACATTTTTACTAAACACCTACCATTATGTGCCAGGTATTATACTAAGTGCTTTACAAATACTATT